AATGCAGAAAAAGAGAAACAAATGCTGTTGAAAGCTTTTTTCCTTATTTTTTCTGAAAAGTAAAGTGAAGAACCAAGTGCTTCGGAGAGCTTTTGTCATCCAGCGGCCTAGCTCAGTTGGTAAGGCACCCGAGTGGCGTGCAGCAGGTCTTGGGTTCAAGCCCCATGGAGGTCATGGGCCTCATGTACCTACCTGGGCAATCTTGGTGCCCGCCACCTAGAGATATGCCCTTGGTCCCCCCAACTGGCATTGAGCAGAGACTGCTGATGTTCATAGGGGGAGGGGACTCTATGGGAGGCACAGTGACTGGCCCATCGAAGAAGCTCGGGCCTGATACTGCCCACGTGCTGTAGCAGGTATGTCACCTGCTCGTGACAGTATGTCACCTGCTCGTGATAGATAGCAGGTATGTCACCTGCTCGTGACAGGTATGTCACCTGCTCGTGATAGATAGCAGGTATCTCACCTGGGCAGGGTAGGGCGCATCAGGTAAAGGGATTCTTCAGAACTTTTTTTTTTTTTTTTTTTTTGGGTTCTTTTTTTTTTAAAAGACAGGCTCCGTCTATTGGTGGCGAGCAACACCTGCTGGAAACCGGGTCCAGCGTCCCTTGAATACATCATGATATTTATTTGTACAGATTGGGAACCGGGCCCAGTGTCCCTTTGAATGAAAAAAGAAATTCCCAAGAGAAGTCTAGAGCCGATCAGCTCATGAGACTAATTAGGCATCAACAATTTATTTTTTGGAACAGAGACTTCTTGTAGTTTTTCAACTTAAAGACAATTAGGGATCTCATCAGCCTGCAGATACCAAGACTCCCCGCCCATCACCCCGAACAGACTGTCCCCTTGCCGACTAGAATGCACCTAAAAACAACCGCTGGATGCGCGGCTTCCGATGCATCTCAGACATCGCATGGGGTCACACACTTTGAGCTAGGTCACCGTTGGACTGGCTCAACGGTGTATGTGGGACTTAGCCCTGGGGCTCACTTTCCTGTCTCCTTCTCTTCTTCTTTCTTGCTCTTTCCCATATTCCTTTTTTTTTTTTTCAATTTTTTCCTGTATCCACTGTTCAGTCTTCTTTCCACCTCTCCTTCACTCTGTGGGCTACTGTAGTTGCACTACTGGCCATTGGCCAACATTTTGAATGCATCTGGAGATTCTGGACTCAAGTTTATCCAGGTGCATAAAAAACGTTGAGGTTTGCTGCACACAACCCCTCGTCAAAGCTGAGACTGTAGCTAGGTAGGTTAAAACTGGTCACTGATAAGCACGAGGTTCACTGATAAGCACGAGGTTCGCACATTTCTGAAACTGAATGTTGGCAAAATTTGTATGAAACTGCATTTTTGCCTTGCTGTTTTATAGGTTTTTTACTAGGCTGTTTTTCCGGGCGCCATGGCACCCAACTTGTGCCCAGGTGGGTGATACCGGCCAGGGGTCAGTCGGTAGCATCAGGACAGAGCTTCTTCGATGGGCCAGTCACTGTGCCTCCCCCCCTCCGGTCCCCTCCCCCTATTAACATCAGCAGTCTCTGCTCAATGCCACTTGGGGGGGGACCAGGCCGGTTCATTTTGCTTTTTGTGCACAGCGCAATTCTCCTTGTGGAAAAAAAGGCTTCAACATACTGGGGCAAGGTCCGACTAGCAAAGGGGATTGGATTTAAAACCTTAATCTAGACCTGTTGGGGGAGAGGTGCAGAACAGTATATCAATCGCCGTTTCCTGCAAATACTCACAAACACGTCCAGATTCCAGCGTTCCATCCAATCCTCTTTGCTAGTGGGACCTCACCTCTGGGGCGAGGTCCCACTAGCAAAAAGGATAGGATCGAGCTCCTGAATCTGGATGTGTTTTAAGCACAGATGCGGAAAAGAAGTTCAATCTCTATTTCCTGCACATCTCCATAAACTCGTCCAGATTCAGGCATTCGATCCGATCCTCTTTGCTAGTGGGACAACGCCCGTGGTGGTTCAGGGCCGTCACCCTTTTAAGAACTAGAAGGAAAACAAAAGAGCCAAGACCTCATATGTCTATTTTTGGTAAACAGGTTCTATTCAGAATTTTTCAAAGGGCATCCCCACACCACTCTTGAAATGTGCAAAATGAGAATGAACTTCCTGCTAGAACATGGCCAAATGCATCCGCCACATTTTTGTCTTTTTCACATTTCGAGAGTGGTGTCGTGATGCCAAAAGAAAAAAACTTGAGAATCTGCGGAATCAGATGGACCCAATAATGTTAGGGGTCCAGGCAATCAACAGACTCTGACATAAAGCTGACCAGTAACCTTCAAATTTGTCAAGCTCATGGAATTGGCCTGGCTGCAGTACTATCCACATGCACAAAAGACAGAGAATATGGTGGTGCATCTTTCCATGGTCTAGGGAAAGATTCATTCTCGTTTTGCAGATTTGGAGAGAGAGTAGTGCAGCAAGGCCCAATGAGAGAGGGAGAGCTCTTTCGAGGAAGAAAATGACAAAAAGAACATGGCAGTGGCGCTATCCAGTCGTTGAATCGGAAATGATACAGCGGATCAGATGTAGCAAACCCAGCGCCTGTGAACACTGACACGTCTTTCAAAAAATGGAAATAGTGGCAGCTGGTGGTAATGATGATCACCAAGGGCATCGTTAGACATCCTCAAGTCCAAAGGACCTCACGAGGTCCTTTGGAGCCCGAGGATCCACGATTCACAGGCTGACGGCGTCGACTCCATAAGGAAAATTGAAGGGCAAAGGTGGTCCATTCGTGGTCCACCGTCCGGAAGACGGACATTGCGGGCCGTCGTCGTCAACAACGTCCTGCAACGGCCTCCTAAGTTTACCGTCACCGGCGATTCGTGGGACAGCACTGTCGGTTCTTCGAGCGGCCCGTCGGCGGGGCCATGACGAGCATCGGGTGTCTTCAGCTGGCTGCTGGAGGGGTTTTGCTGTTCGGGCGGGCTCCCCAACGGTCGAATTTACGAATTTTGTAGCCGTCCACCCCCGGTCCCCCATTGCAGAAATCTGCTTCGTTGGCCTCTTTCTCCGGTACTGTGTCGCCTCTCGCCTCGAATGCGACAGCGGAAGTGCGTGTTCCGTATCCGCTGCCCTGTCATCCATGGCTGACCTGTACCGAAGGCTGCCTTTGCTGCTCCTCATCGCTTTGCTGCTGCTTGTCGTTGTCGTCTTCCACATCTGCTCCCTCGGTCGGCAGTGGCGGGGGGGTCTTCACGTCTGCGCTGCACCGGTGTGGAAGGTGGCAGGCGGCCGTACGACCCGACGCAGTACAGCCACCTGCCGTCCCACGAGATTCCGTTGCCTCCGAGTGACGCCGACGCCGACGACCCTCCACCCTCAACAGTTCCCCTGGGCAGCGGCTCGACGCAGGATTGGATGGGGAGCTAGCTGTTCAGACAGCCACCGCCGCCGACGTACACTGATCTTCTGGAAGGGCGGATCCCCGGCCGGCTACGACGCAGGACTCGTTGATCTGAGCTTCGGTCTGAGGTCTGGTAACGGTCAGGACGTGATGCACACCGTTGTCGTCAACCCAGCTTCGGGCAGCAACAGCACACGGCCTTTGGCGACGGCGGGGGGGCTTCCGGGCGAGCGCGGCGAGTGTTACCGTGAGTTGGGCGACGAGTGCGGACTCGTTTAAATTCGCCAAAGCGGGGAGCGATGAGCAGTGCTGGTGTGGCCGCTTCGCGGACAAGGACACCGGGATTGGCGGCCTGCCGATCAACGACACCTACTAATGCAATCGACGGGCGACGGGACAACAATGTTTGCTCCGCCACATAGGCCATGGGTCGACAGGTTTGGGACGATCATCGGCGACAATCGCGTCAGTCCAGCCCGTCCGGCGTAACGAGAGGGGTGGCGAAGATGAACGTCCGGGGCCATGACATGCTCGTGGACTGCGATGG